AGAATAAGATTTCACCGTTAGATGGAGGAATTCCTACACCGGGTAGCTTTAAATTCAGGAGATGGACAGCCCATAATTCCACCTGTGGACGAAATATATTTTAGAAATAAAAATTGTATAAATAGAAATGGCTGAGACGTCTGAACTTTCCAGTTGAACCGTGACACCTTTCTATCACAATCCTATCTGGGGCTGGATGAGGTGTGCTTTAAAAAAAATAAACACATATACAGAATTCTGATGTAAAGCAAAACATTTAAAGTAAATTTTCCTTCTGCCATAATTGTCATTATTGGTAAAAACCTCTATCCACTAACTGGTAATGACTCAGGAAAAACACATTTGACCAGTAATGAGAGACGTTTTCAAACCCTTTCAAATGTCCCACTGTTTCTTAGGCTCCAGCCTGATTTTTAAGTGCTTTCAATCTGTAAATATTCCATTTTGGCCGAGTTCAAACTGTTTAATGCGCCTTTGTTGGGAATAAGGTTTCGGTTGGGAGTCTCCCTGTTGGCTTTTGGCTGGTTTAGGTCTCCGTGTCTGATAGAGATCAGTGTGCTCAGCATCCTGTTTTCTCTGAACCAAAACATCCGTCGTTGTGACAGAATGAGCTGAAATTCCCTCCGAGTCCACCAGGGGGCAGAAGCACACCGTCCAGGGATGTTTTAAACCTCTGAAACCAGGTTTGTGTTGCAGAAAGACACACAAGCTGTGGATAAATTCCCCTGTGCACCAACTGGTCGGTTCCATTATTGCTGAACATGTCTGTAAATCCACTTCTACTCTGAACAACAAGGCAGAAACATAAAGTTAGAGACCATTTGGATTAGTCTCAAGCCCTTTTGATGGAAAGTGATTATTTTTTATCCCTTGTGCGTGGTTTAAAGATGGAACCCCCTAAAAAAACATCACATGATGAAAGAATAAAGCCAATCAACAGGAGTCGGAATACTTCTTATATTCAGGTGATGTCACAGGATCTGACCAATCAGGAATGAGCCAGAAAAGGCTCAAACGGTTAGTTCATCTAAGTTTAGAAGTGTATTTCTATCCGTTTATCTGGACAGACAAGTGAATACGGTCACTTTTTACCGTCTTGATTGGTTGGTTATACCTTCATAATGTAAAGAGCGAAAAAAAAAAGAAAAGAAAAGATAAAGGAAGTCTCTAGGAAGTTTTCCCAAGAATTTCCCAGGTTTTCCTGAGTTATCTATGAAATGTGTGGAGGCAGGAAATGAAACCTACAACATGCTGACTGATAATTCATCTGGAAGTCACAAAACAAAATGTTTTGTTTAATAATATAACACTCCACCCCCCACACACACACACACACATATTTATTGATGTTTCGTTGCAAAAAAGTCAGTGCAATATATATGTATAATATATATGTATAAATCTAATAAATATAATTGATATAATTCTTTACCATGTATATAGCTAGCTCTTAGCGCTTAGTTATAGCATACAATACAATACATATTTATTGTGCAGGAATAAGGTCTTAGCTGTTACACTGGTAGCCAAGTAATTGACATTTCGTTGTCAAATTCACCTCGTGTTTTTTGTGCAATGACAATAAAGGAAGTCTAAGTCTAAGCCTAAGTCTAAGTCTAAAATGTTTTTCCTCAAAAAGCAGCATTGTCGGGGACACTATCGGTTAGAGATGGCCACGTTCTGTTGGGCCAGCTTGAAATATGCGATTTGGATCCAGCAAGAACAAAAAACAAAAATAAAAAAATGTGAACAGAGGGGGGACCGATGGTTTGTGAAACCCTGAAACCCACCCGAGGGGATACAACCATTCCACAGGCCATTGACCGTGTTTTCATCCGGTGAGTGGTCCCTGGTGGTGGGGGGGGTCAGCAGGGCTCGGTTCAGAGCCAGAAGATCCACGAAATACTCCCTCCTCCCTCTCTTTGGGGGCTCCGATCCTCCTCCCTCCTCCCATCACTGAGCGGGAGTCAGACAGGTGACATCACAGAGGAGTCTGATGTCTGATGAATGGGGTAGGCAAGAATAAGCTTCGCTTCGGCCTATTCCTTTTAGGGTAAACTGTGGGTTTGTCTATTGTTCTTTTCTTTTTTTTCTTTTGTTGTTTCTTGTGTTTAATGTGGACAATTTACCAAAATAAATTGATTGATTGATTGATTGATTGATGTCACCTGTCCCCCCCCCCCCCCTCCCTGAAAGTCACACCTGGTGTCGGCTGTGATCCCCATGAGTGCGTCACCCGGTTTGGCTGCCTCCCGTAACCCGGGGGGACGTCGCCATGGTAACAGCCTCATCAGAGATGACTCTGTCAGCTGAAGACGTTCCCCCCGGGTTACGGGATCCACCCTAACCTCCGAGAGCACAATTGAATTCCCTTCACTGGAAGAATAGTGCATCTGAACCCCTTCTTTCTGGTCGTGGATCATTGGGGTCCAGCTCTGGTCCTCTTTGGGGAGTTTTGGGGAGTTTTGGGGAGTTTCGGGGA